ATCATTATCAAATCATTATTATTTGTCATTTAGCTCACAGAATACATTAAACAATTTTTTTAGTACACGTAATATTTTCAGCAGATATGCAACACTTTCTCAATGGCGGATACAGGGTATCAAAAGTAGCGCAATATTATGAAAATAACATCAGCCAACGTTTGCTTAAAAACAAATATATTAAATCATGCTGTTGTTAGATTTGCAGCACGATAAGCCGCAGCCCCCGATAAGCCAGCCCATACATTTCCATATTACTCGTATAGGCCGTAAGTGTCTTACCCTACTGGTACTTAATACAGGTACTCATATATGGCCTTAGTACATCTGTTCGATTTGGAGCCCAAAAAAGTAATTTTCGGTTTGGCAACCAAACTGATATTCGGCTCTGGCAGCAGCTGCCATAAATTTGGTTTGAGCGCAATGCGGAAAAACAAGGTAATCGTTAAATATATAGTATACTCGTATAGCATAGATATATAAATCTGTACTGTGGGCGTATATGTAGATAGCAGACATTCAGGGGAGGCAGTGCAATAACCAACAGATGAGTACACTCAAGGCTGGTGTGCAGCCAAAGTCAATGCACTCGGAAGCCTGCTGTTTTCAAGTTCACATGCAAATTGAAAAAAGCCAAAATTGGCGGTATTAGATTTATGATAATGCTTACCACTGCTTGGGGCCGCCGCATCAGTGATTTATACCATACGATTCTATGCTCAACTATGCTTCGACAGCTGCCGAAACTTCAGTGCGGTTCATTGACACTCATCCAAACGCTTGTAGGCTGGCAAAGCCAATATCACATTTATTGATCATCCTATCTATAAATAGGCATGCCATTAAATTGCTGTACTTATATCAAGTATCAGCTATTTACTTGCTGAGGAAGAGCCGGCTACTTTTCTCACATCCTTAGCTGCCTCATCTCTGACGCACACTTTATCCTCAACTTGTATGAAATTGTTTCCTCTTGCCCAATCGTCAGATTTGTTCAACTTGACAGCTGCGTGTCCACCCACGAGATGTTTTCGCTGATTCCCTCACCTGACAGTCAAATAATTTGTTCAACTCATTCATTCATTTTTAAGCATTTAAATACAATTTATTTATTTATTTCTTCAGCTCGTACGAATAGAAGGAATAAAACAAAATAAAAACTGTGTCGCTGTGCCAACATACAATTTTTGTTCTAATGACTTTTGCTGTACGCTTATGCATATACTTATAGTACATATACATGTATATACACATATACTATATAAATATGTGTTTTATAAGCTTTCTGGGGGTCCAAAAATCAATTTATAATTTCTTAAACATATATATTTTTTTATATTAATTATTCAGTTATTCAAATTAGGCTTGTTTTTTTATTGGCATTGCTTATTGGACATTACGGAAGCAAGTTGTCATTTAAGGTAATTTGTCGTGGGCTCTCAAAATGAGCACACAAGAAATCAATTGTTTAATTAAGAGCAAGTTTATTTCTTAACGGTTTAGTATAGCCTATAAACTTGATTCTATATTGAATACTACGATTTCAATGGAATATTTCGAATGAGTCATTTAAATACAATACAACCAATCTCACATTTTCAATCTTAATATATAATCTAAAAAAGGTATATAAAATACAACAAAAAAATAATAGCTTCATATCAACCAATCTAAATAATTTTATACATGTATATATATACATATATATATATATATATATATATATATAAGCAACTGAAACTCAGCTATTTACTATACTTTTTAGGTGAAATAGAAAGCAACACAATTAATTGCTTTGAAATATTAAATATGTTCATGTAATGAAAACTATATAAATTATATCATATTATATAGTAAAATATGTAATATTATATTTTCATTTGAAACATAAAGCAAATAAGTTTTAATAAAGTGCAAAATTTTTTCTTATTTAATCCAAATTAAAATTAATCATATTTTGAGCTCGCTCTCTGCTTCATACTGATAACCAATCGTTCGACTCATCTTTGCTTTCTCATCAAAAATCTCATCAAAATGCAGATTAAATTTTGGTCTGATTTTCTTCAAACCGGTGCCTATAAAATTAGTTATGTTTGTTTGACAAATATCCAATTTGAAATTCCATTCTGCAGCAATTTGCTCACCAATTTGCAAATGTCAGACCAAATAATTTGTATTGTTCAGATTTGCTATGCAGGTATTTAAGTCTGTATCAAATTGTAAAAGAGACACCTTTTCACGCATAGTTGGATCGAGTGAATCATAAAATAAACAAACATCACAAGTGATGTTATGGTGACCGCTTCGCTGCGTGACAGCAACGCATCCGTTGAACCAGGTAGCTAAGTGGAGCATATGTCACAGGGTCGTTGGCTATACTCTTTAAAAATTTGTGAAAAGAGTGTCCAGGGTACCGAGCCGATCTAGACATGTCATCTGACAAGAACACAAACACTGGACATCTAGACAAGAACACAAGCACTGGAACTTAAATAAAGATATAATAGATCACCCAAATCATAAAGAATCGGCAAATATAATTTTCTGGCCCTACGTTTACCACTTGTAAGATGTTGTCTCTCATTTTTAATTGGATTACAATTATTTTGAGAGTATTTTCTAGTCGAACACTCTCGACTGGAATATACTTACCATTTGTGTGCTTATTCTGTGTGGCACATTTGCCTTTGCAGACCTGTCGCCCCAATGCAGCAAGTCGAGAGATAGCAAAGTTTGGCGCAAAAAAGTCGTCTGAGTCAGCAGGTAGCAGCGGTTAAGTCAGAGTGCTTGGCATATGCCAAACGATTAGTCACGCCCCAAAACACTATCTGCTATAAGCTCCAAATCAATCGGCATACCACATTGCCAAACATTTACAACGCCCATACGCCCCGTTGCCACCAAATATGAATTGCCGCTGCACGAGCTTCTAAATTTTTAATGATCAAACCCGTTGCTTATTGCGTGGTGTGTGGAACTTGTCACCACTCAGTACCACTCAACGCCCCATTCACAGCAGCTACTCAAGTCCAGCCATTTGTGACAATCAAAGTTCTTAAGCAATATCCATTTTTCAATTCTCCATTTGTGTTTGAAACCAGCATTCATTAAGACACTAACTATGGCAGTTTTTTTTTTATTACTGTTCTTCATTGAGCTACTGCCATATAATCAATTAATTTAGTCACGAATATAAAAAAAAATCGCCCTAAAGTCAGCACTCGTCAAGTGCTTGTTCGTGTTCTAGAGCTCTTGTTCTCCTTGCCAGTCGCAGAGTTAAAAAGAATATTTCTCAAGAGAGGTTGAATTGATGAGTTTTGCAAACAGAATATGGTGCAGAATCGAAACAGTTTTGGCTTTTTGAAATTGCAATTTATATTGATTGAATTATTCTCTGGAAGTTTCTATTTGTCTTTCAAAAATTTGAATTCATTGAATATTTTTCACTACACCATATTTATTTAATTGAGGTCAATTCTGTTAGAGCTATTCGAATACACAATTAGTTTCATATATTTGGATTTATTGAGCATCTAATTTTATACTTAATTTTAATCAACTTGGACTTGCTCTCCAGCATGCGGCATATATGGAAATCAATTTTTACAACTTTTCAGTCTAACCTCTTTCGTATCGCTTGTATCATCTATATGTGTAAAAAGACTGCGTGGGCAGTTATCGCAGATCAAACAAGTTTGCCTGCAAAAAAAAAAAAAAATTCAGGAAAAGACCAGGCAATAAAAAGTCAAACTAATTAATTGTTTTTAAGACACATATTCTTTTATTTAAATAGTGGTTTTTCTGTTGAAATAGCTTAATTTTTTCCATTTTTTTTTTTTTGTTTGTTTTGTTTTGGTTTTTATTTTTTAATATTTAGCGTAACTAAAAAATACATAATTAAATTGATGTCTTGCTTTAGCTACCAACTGCAATTGTACTGTAGTTAATTTTTGTGTATTTGTTTATGTTTCCTTTGTTTGGTTTAATTTTCTTACATTTCATATTCGGTATCATTTGCTGTTTCACATTAAACTCTAATTTGTCACATCGAATTTTTGTGTTTTTTGCTTTTTGGTTTTCATATGTAGTAAATAGCGATGGAAATTGAAAAAAATAGCACTATTTGTATTTATAAACTATTAATACATGTCTTAGTTAGTTTTTGAATGCATTTGACAATTACATTTCCTCTGCTATATTTGATTTCCTCGTTCACTTTGCTCGGCATCACATTAATTTATTTTAAAATTGGTTTTTGTTTTGTTTTGTTTTTTCTACACACACAGAACATACACAAATATATTATATTCATTTATAATACATATAAATATATTTTTAATGTAAATTTTTAGAAATATAAATTCGAGGTTTGGTTTTCTTTTTGTATGTGTGTTTATGTATGTTTGAGTGTGTGCTCTTCGTAGTTATCTTTAAGTTACAAAAGGCTTTGCTAGTTCGAAGCAAGTCAAATGGCGGCAAAAAATGACAAATGAAAATATTTTTTACAACTGAATTGAACTTAAATATTATAAAGCTTTCGGTGAGTGGCGGCAAATACATTGATGTGACGCAGCACATGCCCTTTAAGTAGAACTTTAGGCACGTACCGCCTATTAAACATATAAAAATATATATTATTTTTATTTTTAATAAATTAAAACTAATGAGGTATTTCGCTGCACTCTGTGACTGAAGTACTAGAAAGCAAATTGACTTGAATGGTCATCAAACAAAATGATAAAAATTAAATCATTTACGGTCATTGACCATTTTTATCAGTTAATAAAACAGACAGCAGAAACTAAACAGATGACATTGCACAGAACGGAAACAAAGTTTTCAATATGAAAACTGCCGCTTGCAATATCAGAAAATCATATACATATGTAGAGCACTAGGTGCATGTTGTAGTATATATATATATATATAAGTCTACAGTAGTTAATAATACAATGTATATATACACATATATATATGCTTTGCACATTTACTTAATGTATATAAAACTTATAAATTGAATGCTTAGCGTTGGGTTTTAGACAGAATGTTTTTTCTTGTTTTGTTTTTTATGTTTTTTTTTAAAGCTTGTTGTGTTTGATTGATAAATATTTACCAAATTAAATAATAATAAATAAATAAGTGTCGTTTGTGTGAGTTTTGAGAGTCTTAAGCAATTGACTTAATACATGTAGCTGTTTAAATAGTATATTCATATATTTAGCTGGTTTTATTAGGTACTTGAAATTGGCTGCTTGGTTCCCGTTTACAGTTTCTTGATATATGTATTTAACAATTAAGCTGTTTACTTTTTTTTTTATCAATTTTTTGCGACTTGCATACAGTTGATCTTGTTATTTAATATTTTGTTTTTGTATTTTGGCTTAAAGTTATACTCTTTTTTTTGTTGTCTAGCCGGACAGATGTTTTACAAGGTACTTTGTTATTTTTTTTTATGCCTGTGCATTTTACAGCGACATGTACAGACATATTCTATATGTATATTGTGAATTTGTAGTTTTTGGCATGAGAAGCTTCTAGCACAGCATTTTTTTAAATTAATTTCTGGTTTTCTGTTTTTTATTTTTTGTTTGTTTTTTTTTTTTGGCTTAGTTATTTAAACTTACGAATTACGAATACTGTTCTGCGAATTCTTCAGCAAGCAATCAACATTTAGTTAGTTTACTTAGTGAGTTAGTGTTTCTTAGACCTCCGTGGGCGATGCTTGTCCGCAGCTGGATTGCAACTTCTTTGAGCTGCGAAAGAACATATCGAACAGGCCTCGTCTCGCCTGAAATTTGGGCGGCGAGCTGGGAATATGAATGTGCTCCACAATTGTAATGCCACGCTGCAACTTGGGCCGCGCTGGACGTTGCGGCAGTGGCGGTGGCGGTGGCGGCGTTGCTTCTATCGCGTCATCCGAGTCGGCGGAGCTTTTGTGTGTAGCACCAAAATTGATGATGGTGCTGCAGCTGCTGTTGGGTCGCAGCGTCAGCGTTGCATGCACCGGTGTTGTCGTCGTTAGCGAGCTCTGCGGCGTCAGATAGCGGCAACTGTTGCTGCTGTACTGCGACAATTTGCTGCTGTTCCGCTGCAGTTGAGCAGCGCAGGTGGTAGCACCAGCAGCACCACCACCAACCGAACCACCATTCATTTTCACGCTGCTGCTGTGATGACGCTGCAGTGCACTGGCCACATTCAGACCAAACAGCCGCTTGACGCCTCGCCGCACACGTTTGTTGCGATAGGCAAAGATGAACGGTGAGCTGAGATTGGCCAGCAGGATCATGAAGACAGCCAGCTGCGTGGAGCCGCTAAAGTTGGCAGCGGACAGACGAGACTGCAGCAGCACCAGCAAGCCATATGGCAGATAGGATACAACGAACATAACCACCACTAAAATGCTAATCCTTGCCGCACGTGACTCCTCGCGATATTTGAATAACGAGCTGGCATTGCTCAAGCGATGTCGCAACGAGCTCATATAGCTTAGAGCCTTTGGCGAGGCGTGTATGGCGGGAATTTGTAGAGCATGCTGCTGCCCCGAGCTGAAGTGTGTGTGCAGCTGAGGCGGCAACTGTTGCTGCTGCTGTTGTACCGGCAACTGTTGCTGGGAGAGCTGCTGCAATTGTTGCTGATGCTGTTGTCGCTGTGCATGCAGCAAATGCGGCGAGTTGCACTCCTCGATCACCTCCGTATGCTTTTGCAGATTCGGTGAGCTATGCACCTGCCTTATGCCTTGCAGGCGATTCAATTCGCGCAGATCCTGCGACGAGGTGCCCAGAAGTGGCAGCTGCCTGGCCGAATAGTTGCGCTTAATCTCTCCACTGGCCGTCTGCAGCGTTAGCAATATATTCTGATTGCGATCGGCAATCGTTTGCTCCGGCACACTCATCAGCTGATTGCCGCACTCCACATCCACATCGGAGCCATCATCGGAGATGGTAGGCAGCAATACCTTGGCGGCAGAATCGCGACGCAAGCAGTTTGGGGAACTGCGCCGATCAATCTGCATTTGCAATCCACCGCTGACAGCGATGCCGCCACCATGTGAGCTGGCCGAGGAAATGGAATGTCGGTGAACGCACAAGCTGTTTGTGTAATTAGCAGCGGGGGTTGCTGGCGCCTGATTGGTTAGATTTAGGGCGCTCTGCAGCAGCGGGGAGGAGCCGTTCTGTCGCATGCGTAATCCGTTGCCACGCGCCTCGCTGAATATGCGCCAATACATGCCACAAACGAAGCCAAACGGCAGCAATATAATCACAATGAAATACACACACGCGAAGATCACACCGAATATGCTATTAGTGCTGCTGATGTTGAAGTAGGTGGCTGCCAGACGCCTTTGTCTGCTGAGAAGCGTGTCGGCCTCAAAGTCGAGCACACGAAACGCAGATAGAGCGCCAAAAAGAATACCCACCGTCCAGGTGAGCGTAATGAATATCCACGTTTTAACGCCCGAAATGCGACTGTGATAGCGCAACGGATCCGTAACGGCACACCAGGTATCCCCAACGACAAGGAGCACAGCCAGCGCACCCAACGCTGCAGCCATATCAATTGACCAACAGCGCAGCTGCACCGCCGGCAACTGTATGCCATGTGTACGAACGGGCACACTTAAATTATCCTCCTGTGTTTCCGTTTCCGTAATGATAATGCCGCCATCGCCACGCTCATCGATGGTTAGTTCGCGACAATATGTGGCATTGCATTTGTAGATCATCTCAATGGTATCACCCGAGCTGTTGCTGGTGCTATTACGTCGCACCACAATGCCATCCTGCTCCACAAGCTGGCCATGATGGCGTATTGTTAACTGATGATTTCCCGGTTTTGAATAGAATTCAATGCTATCGCCGGCAGCGTTAACACTGCTCAATTGTTGCTCATGCGACGTGGACAAACTCTTAAAGCCGCTCAAAAATAGCGTGGGTGCTAAAATGCAGCAGCCAATTAGATTGATGATCAGCAGATTGATGGTGAAGCGATTCGCTGTGGTGCGCAGTCCCGGCGTTATCCAGAATGCGCACAGCGCCAGCAGATTGATGATGAACGAGATGAGCAGCAGGGCCAAGATGAGAAAATCAATGGCCATCTCTTTATGCGACTAACGCCTGCTCTATTAACTGTTTGTGATTCAGTTGTTGTTGTTTTGGTTTTTGTTTTTGTTTTAGTTTTTGTACTAGTTGCTGTGCTTGTGGCACGCACATCACTTTACAGTTTTAAGTGCCACTTTTTCGCTTTTTATTTGTTTTTGTATATTTTTTGCCTTTTTTTATTTTGGCTTTGGGCTCACACACAAAAATTTCACTTGGTTTACACGTTCCACATTTGCTTTCTTCTGTTTCTTCCTCTTCTTCTTGTTATTTTACCAATTTTTTAAATTTGTTTCTTTCTACTTAAGTGTTTGAGGCTTGTTTCTTGCAAAACGCTTGCTAATTTACGCGCGAAGCTCGTCGTCGATATAGTTGAATTGTTGAACAAAAATTTCTAAAAAAAAATTTCTTTTTCGAGTTTTCCACATGTATGTTCCAATTTGTACAGATTTTTACGCTTACAAATTGTTGGTTTGTATTTGTGTAAATTTTTGTTTTGTATTTTTCTTTCTTATATTTTTTTTTTGTTCCGCGCGTCGATCGAGCACGATCTTCACTACGAAGCGTTTCAAGCACAACTGTCGTGTGCGGCGACCGCAGCGCCTCAAAATATATACAAGCAATACGCTCCCACTGAGCGCCAACAATTGTTGCTGCCACTGCCGCCGCTGCTGTTGCTGATATTGCTGTTGCTGAGCGCTGTGAGAGCTGTGAGCGTGTAGAGCGACGAGCAAAAGTTTGTTGTTGCTGCTTTTCGTTGCTGCTGCTGCTGCTGCCGCTGCTGCTGCTGCTGTGATTTGTAGTTCCCACGCTCCCGCTCAATTAATACCGAAGCGACTTTGAATTTATGTTGCTGCTTTTGTTATTGTTGCTCTGTTGCTGCTGCAGAGCGCATTGTTGCGCGCTGTTGCCAGCCGGTATTTATCAGCTGTAGAGTTTGTCTGAGGCCGTGGCTGATGATGTTGTCCTAGTTCGTTGCAAGCTCAGAAATTGTATAATCTTTTTTGCAACGTGCAATTGGCGAATGGCTTCACTTTTGCTGCGCTCTCATTACATCACAATCTGTTGCTGCTGTTTGGTGCTGGCACATATTTCAAACCTCAATTTTCCTCTGGGTTCTGTACAACATTCAACGCAATGGGCCGCGCTCTATTTTCTTTGCCATAAAAATTGCATTTTTATTAGGCGCAAGTAAACAATTGTAGCCGATGTTGTAGCTGCTGTTGTTGGGCCATCAAAACAGCTGATGAAATTCTCAGCACCGCAATCTGGAAGAGAGAAAGAGATGGTCATATTTTGAGATAAGAGTCTCCCTTGCGCTGTATTCATAGCATAGAAATTCAAATATCGAATACAAATTTACAGTTCACAGATTGTGCTTTGGCTATGAAATTATGAAATTAAAATGAAATATCAACTAGCGTCGGATCATGAGACAGCAGTTATATGTATATATGTATAAATATATATATATATATATTTTTATATTCATTATTTGTGACTCAGAGAGGAAGGCGATTCATAATATTTGCATGCGCCCTATACGAATACTGGCACACTTCAGACCAATGATACATTAAAGTGTAAACAATTGTTATCGGCTAATTACAAACAATGACCAATGATAATAATGAAGCATTAACAGAAACTTAAAATCCCCAAAAACAAACAATTTTGATTAATTATAATCTTTTTTTATTCTTTACAAAACAAAATCGGTTTGTTAGCAATTAACATTCCAATTGTTTTTAACATTCCAATTGTTTTTTTTAAACTTATATCATAGCTTTGCCTTAACTCTCACGTGAATATCACATGTATCGACATACTTAGTAAGATGACTTGACAAATTTTGGATGGGCTAACTACTCGTCGTTCCTACTACGCATCAGTTACTCAACAAAGAGCACACTTAAAACAATCAGCTGCTTTTCGAATGACCAGTTGAGCGTCAAAACTTTGAACCCAAGTCCCAGTCCCGGAATATGAGCTCATCCGAGTTGCGTTCTATCGTTCGACCAGTTTAATACTAAACGATCACATATATATCCAATACATATTTGGATGTCTGGGAAGAAGCGATCAGAGCTAAGCATCAAGGGAGCACTGAACACGCGACCAACGACTTTGAATTGTAAACAAAAATCGTTTCGGTGTCAGGCTAAGCCGCAGTTTACATGCCCTACTTAACTCTCCGGCTGAGTGTCTATAAATACTTTGTGTAAAGAGTCGTGATGTTGCCAGAAGCTACGAAATTCCAATCGAATGCATTTGAAGCATTACTTTTTACTTTTCCCATAAGTAAATATTTGCTTGAGACATTAAGATAAATTAACGTTAATTCTAGAGCATACGGTTTTCCTTATAAGATACATAATTTTCTATATTTTATCTAAATTGTGTTTATTTATTTTAGAGAGATGGAGATGAGATCTTAAGTTTTAAATTTCATATATACGCCGAAACTGCATTTTTTAATATGCTTAATGATATTTTAAAACCAATTTTAATTACTATTATTACTCAGCTAATTTAGTCTAGACAATAAGTTCATGAAGCTTATCGCAAACCCACATAAAATACGCTACACCAAATAACGAACACATCTGCCCCTCGCCAAAAAAAAATAAATAAAAATTAGACACACGTTTGATTATTTTGAGACTTATCTCCAAGCAGTTGTTTTGATTTCTTGCCACGCCCCTCTATCGATTACACACAAGAGCACATCCGAACAGTTGTCTGCGATGCTGTGTCAACAGTACTCAACAGTGAAAAGGCCACATGGATAATTTACTTAAGAACTACGTAAAATGTTTTGGATTTGAATATGTTCAAGTGCTCAGTTTAGTTTACAGACATTTAGAGGCATTTAAGGGGTGTGAATTTAACACTCACTTTGTACACTTTGCAGGCAGTTCAGCTGTTTATGTGTGGCAAATATTGACGCGAAAAGTAAATCAAGGCAAAGTCGGACGTAAGTAGATGTATATTTTTAAATACATGTAGCTCATTCAGCTTGTCATAGAATGAATAGACTTTATATATATACTATATACATTTTACTTGCATTACATTAGTAAGAAATCTCTATTAGAGCATAAGTAATCGTACAAACTTAATAACTAAAATATTATTCGCACATTTCCATATATGGAAATAGTTGCAATTTTCATAGTCAACAACGTGCTGCAGAGCATTTCACAGTCGGTAACTTTCGAAGTTCCGATTGATTTATTTATTTACTTAATTTCTTCTTTTTTTTTTTTTGCTTGCTTCCTTGTGCTTATCAGCTAGTCTAGTCTATCTATCACTTTTATATTGAGAGATAATGCAGCGGAACAAAGGCAAATTTGCACTTGATCAAATATTGTATTTTAAATGTACAATTGTCAGACCATTGGTTTAATCATTAAACATTAATGATTGGCACTGAAGCGAGGGGTAGCACAAATATTGAGTTTGATTTATTTTTTGTCACTGGCTGAATTTAAATTTCCGCTCGCGTGGCACTGCCATATGCTGCTTGCAAGCTCCCTAAACGCCAGATCAAAGTTTGCACACAAGTGTTTCTCTGAACATTAGTTTATCTGTATAGTAATCTGGGTATTTTTAAGAAATTCTATAGAAACTTAACAGTTTGAGAGTGTAAACAAGACGCTGAGAATACGCGCATTTGCATGACTTCGCAAAAAATAGCATTAAGAGCATTAAGTTAAAAACATATCTCACCTAAGCAGGCTGCCTACCCCTGCCGCTGTCTTAATTAAATAAGCAGGTTCATGTCTTAACCACAAATTATTATCATCAAGAAATTAAAATTCTCAGCGTCTGCATGAGCAATCGTATTTCGGCTAAAGAGGCTCGGCTTTATTTTTAAAAGGGAGTTCACACAGTACGTGCGATGCTTAATGAGGCGCTCTAGATGGAGCCAATATGAACCAGTTGTAAACATCGGATCGGCCTGTGATTCCCATCACAAAGAAATTAAAAACTATGGCTCACACAAGGAGAACAACACGAAAAATAAACAACTGTTGACCAGTCAATGTTTCACGTACGAATCCGGTTTTTTCATGTTTGCTCTTTTTTGTTTTAATTGTTTCTTCTCTCTCAGATTTCCCTCTTAAAATGTGACGTCACTCTTGGCGTTCTGTTTTTTTTTAATATAAAGTTTTGCACTCACTTTTGGACTCGCACTTTATATCGATCGTCAGTCCCGCTATCGATACAATTTGAGGCACTTAAGCCCCATAAGCCCATAAACAAAGTTGATATAAATGCTATTTAACCCATATTTGTGGCTGACAATAATTTGTGCACCCAAAAATGGGCGGGAAGTTCCATCAGCTTTGCAATATTTCTGTTGCTGTTGCCAGCCAATATTTACATACAATGGCCCTGCACTCCCAGTCCAACCTAAAATGGGCAGACAAGAGTCATTAACAAATATGTAAGTATAGTTGTGTATAAGACCTGGCTTTAGGCCATGTTACGTACCGTGTCCTCGAGTTGGTAATACAAAATAATAATAGCATTGGTCACGATGAATTGACTTTCTTGCATGCGACTCACCTGTCCGTTGATTGATCTGCTCCCCCCTCACTCAATAAGCTCTTTATATAAGCCTTTAATAATTGAAAATTACTTGACTTTTTATGTGGCTGACATTAAAAACTTGATTTTGACTGCGAACAATTCTGTCTGAGTTCTTGTCAAACATGTGATTTGCATTTGCTATAGCTGAAAATTGATAGACATGTGGTGGAAAGAAATTTGCACATTAATTGCTCGATTTCATATTGCATGAAAGTCGTCTGGCAGTTATACATATTGAGCATTCACAGCCTACAAAGCTATATAATGAAATTTTCACTATTGCGCTCTCTTTCATTTGAATATTTTTTATATTATTTATTTTTTTTAGTTAGAGACAAGAACTAGTATATATACAATAACTAAAATAGTTACAAGTCAGTTCCATTCAAAAAAGGCATCCAGAAATTAATATATATTTTAACGTATTACGTCAGATAATTAAAGGATGACACCTTACTATTACATATGTAACTGCTTTTGAAATGCGCATAACAAGTGATAAACTATTAGAAAAGTGTGTTATGCCCCAAACTAGGTCTCTGAGCGCAGCATTTCCTCAACGGAACGCTAATTAATTTCACACGTTGTTGCTTTTCCGCCGACAAATTGCCGAGTTATTTAGACTGGTCGTTTGAGCCTTGGCTAATTGACTGCGACAGCCAGCCACACCTCCAAGCTAGAAGACAGTCCCCTAACAGACAGCATGACGAATGTTCAAATATATATTTGCGCGTAAGAGAATTTTGTTCCGGTACATCAATCTGTACAGTCCCATGCTGATAAGGTTGCGGCTTGGTTTTTGCTACACGTGATAAAGAAGTAATAACATTTATCACAATGGACGATGGTCAATAACAAATTAAGCTCAGCTTTCTGTGGAGAAGTCCAATGCCATTAACATAAATCCAATTTAATTAGCTCTGCGGCAGCCTGGCTTCTCTTGTACTGTTCAGCAAAAGTTTGCCCTGGCTATTATATTGATATATTGTATATATATATATATATATATATATATGTTTTTTTTTTATGCGCTGCGCTTTCTTTATCCGCCTATAATTGAATAAAATGCGGCTTTATAAAAGACAGCAGCAAAAAGCCAAATATTGGCACAACTTTTTATCTGAGCTTAGTAACTTTGTCATTGTTCAACAAAATACAACAATGAAAAAGGTGTTAGTTGACGATGAGATACCCTGCATTTATTTATATAAATGAATATCAATCATATTATTTAACTAAAAATATGATAATATCTAATGCAAAAATAGATTTTCACACTGAATGTTTACTTCACATGTTCATTATCAATTTGAGTATTGATGCTGTTTAATAATAATAAAAAAAAACATGACTCCAAAGGTCGTAGAGCGTAGAACTCTACTCAGTGCTTAATGTACGCACAAATATTCCAAAATGGAAATGCTGAGAAAAATTCAATTAAGTTTGCAGTTTGCGAACTGTTAAACATGGAAACTTACAAGGAACATTACATATTACACATCATGCACTGACATGTGTGTTTGTGTGTGTGGTATAAGTGTATGCCTTGTTTTTATGGGTTCTAGTATAAACTTTTCCATTAGCTCGTTAACTCGCTGGCACGACAATAGCCAACAAAATAAAAGCGAACAAAAGGGCGAAAAAAAAAAACAATAACAAATACATTAGCATCGTCTGATGTTGTCGTCGTCTGCCTGTCATTGATTCACATTCATCGTATGGCGGCAGGTTGGTAACGTTTTTTATTTTTATACTTTTTGCATTTGGTCAGTGGAAAAATATAGCCGCAAACTGTTACTGAATGTAAACATGCATTAAATATGCAAATGCTGCGTAATCGCTTAGCCACTGTGACGAAGCATTTACTTTTTGTTTTCTTCTTTTTCTGTTTTCAATTAGAAATGGGGGCGTGACCTTAAAGAGTTGCGATAGTCACAACAAGCCTGAATATATATTCAACTATATTTAATAAGAGTATTGTTCTTTCACATTTTCCGTAATTATTTGTCACGCTCACATCTTTAACTCAAAATGCGAAATGAGCGTGTCTTTAATTTGATATGGCGGTCGTCAATGTAGTCACAGATACGCAGTTATTTGAAACTCTATTTCTGCTGCTGTTAATGTATATATTACTCTAGTTACTCTTTTGCCAGAGCATCAGTTGACTCCATTACAAAAATGTACTTGGCTGAGCAACTGCTTAGCGTAACGGTTAGAAATGCTTAGGCAAGTGCGACCTCGACGTGGTCTTAGACTGGAACTAAAAACTCGACTTTTATGTGCACGACTATGTACTTACACACACATATATATATATATATATTTATATATGTGTAAGACAGTAATCGCGATTCAGTATCGAAACACATTGACAAGTAAGCAGTTAGATTGTAAGCGAGAAATAACAGAAAAGTCGAGGCTTAGCAAACAGTTGCAACTTAACAAGTGGAATGCTTATATATGAGAGATATGTTCAACAAATAGTTCTGAACAAATGTACTTCACAAAGGGGAATTTTTTGAATTGCAGGATTAAAAATTACTAATCAATATTTGTGTTACTCATTGAGCAAATAAGCTTTTCTTTGCCACATAAAACCAGTTTAATTTTTCTTTTATATATCTCAGCCAAATTGGTTAGATGAATTATATTTATTTATGTATTTGTTCTAACTGTTCGCCTTTTTTTTGTACTTGTTTCTACATTAAACATTATCGAACCAACATCAAATATCTCAGTTCTTGGCAATTGACCCGAATGGCTTGACCTTCGCATCTGCTTGACTTTCATTTGCCTAATCAATTTACTGACCCTCAACTGCATAATTAGTCAAGTAGCCTCTTAGTATCAATTACAAGTTGTAAACTTCATTAGACTATGGGAACTTACCTGCAGCTGCAAACCACTTAAAAGTTTTTGAGCAGAGACTGCAGCTGCTATCATTAATAGTATGCTCAAATCCAGCTTTGAGGGGTGTGAAAATATAGCCAAGGGCCAACAACAGCAAAAGATAATAATTACTTCAGATATTTTATGCATCGATAATAAATTGTTGATGCCAGGCTGAGTTATGTGTGGGACATGCAGGCGCAAAGAGAGCGTGTAATGGACCTATAATTACATTATCTAGAACTCATTCGCACCCCCCTTTGGAGTGTGTCATGTTTGTGTAATGTTGTTTTGCGACTGGTCTCAAATTTATGCAAAAAGCGCAAAAGTTTTGGTCGAACGAGTTCACTGCACTTGGCTATGACAGACAATGTCTGATTTCAAATGGCAGCATCAAATTACGCGTCCAAACTAAAATAAGTTGATGTGCTTAAAGAAGAGATACCCTGTAGTTAGTTACAAATTAATATAATATTTTCGCAACATTTTGATACACAAAGATGGAGTTCAAAATATGGATAAACTATTAATTTCAAAGTTTTGCAGACATTTGCCGCTATGCTTAGCACAAGTGTAAAACCCCTTTAGAGGGTACACAATAAAAATGCATCAAATGAAAACAACATTAGAAGAGAGAACAAAAAATAGCAACTAAACCGGTGGCCAAGTTGAGGTCAAAGTGTTTGACACATGTGAGTGGCCATAGACAATACAGTAGCCTGCGGCTTCGAGTGCGCGTCCCCAAACTCTAACTAATTCTGGGCTGCATATGAATTAATGGTAAAACAAAAAAAAAAAAAAGAATGAGTCGTTAGCTTTGTGCTTGAGTCTGGACTGTTGTCACAACATACTTGAGGCCAATGGCTTTGGAACTTTTGATGCATGTGGACTTGCCACCGATTTCCCAATTTTCCGGCAAGGTCAGTGAGTCCTACGCGAATCGATTAAAAATTTTATGCCAACTGTTCGTCTTTGTTTATTTACTAGGCAATTCAGAAATGAAAACAAAAATGCATTTATTTATAGCTGGACAACACGCCATGCAGCCAAAGTGACCTACATTCAGTTCCGTGTCTCAGAACATATATATATATATGTACATATATGTATATATACTGAATGGCCTTAGTCAAGAACTAGTCCAAAAGTGCGTCTGATCTACATATGTAATCTGATTGACAGGTTTTTGTACGAAAAACGAAAAACACACAATTCGGAAATCATTTTTCTCTAATGTGTCCAAATTTAAAAGTTATTGAACATTAATTATAAATTCATACATCAAGAAAATATCTGACTTCGACAGCTGCCCTTGTCTAACGACTGTTCACCTTAGATAAGATAAGTTCTGAGCCCAGACACGTGGCCAACAGTCATCAAGCTGTTGAGATATGCAAGAAGACATATATCAAAATATATCTACAACTACTTCCAATTTGATTGATGTGCTAGGGCTTTTGAACGTGTCCAAATAATTCGCACAAATTTGCTACTATGTATATTTGCATAAGCGTAAACGATGAGTCAAGAATTCGCTAGAATTCGAAAAATAGTTGATACATATAAGCGACAGTTGAGTAAATATGCTAATGGCAATTTGGTCTGGATAAATTATATACAATATTTCATTGTTTATCATATTAACTTTAAATTTATTTGGAAATCGTTAAATATATGATTACTAGTATTTGCAAAATTTGTCAAAGTCAAAATCAAATCACATTTTGGGACTTCTAAAAATATGGCTTGCACTTAATCCTATCAGCCAACATAATGAAAAAAGTAACGATGGAAATCGCCAGCTCGTTGGATGGCTTCACCAGAAACTTGTATCATCATTTAGTCGATTTGAATCCCAACAAGGATTTAATATGCTCGCCACTGTCTATACAAACCAGCTGTGCAATGTTACGCATGGGCGCAGATAAGGACAGCGAGACAGCCAGACAATTAGACGAGGGAATGAACTTCAATTCCATTAATGTCAAGGAGCTAGCTGAGAGGTTTCACACTGTACTCGATTATTATCTGCAGTGTAGAGTTTTACATATGGCCAACAAGGTGTATATTATGAAGAGATATCAAGCCAGTCAGGAATTCGTCAAAGTATTGACTCAAAAGTTTCTCTCTCAACCCGAGAATATTGATTTCTCCCTTAACGAGCAAGCAGCTGAAACCATCAATAGTTGGGTTAAGGCCAAGACGAACAACTTGATCAAAAACCTAGTCAGCCCAAGTATTCTGAACGATGAAAGTCGACTCGTGCTGGTCAATGCGATTCACTTCAAGGGAGAGTGGAGCATCAAGTTCGATGAGAATAAGACTAAAAGGGAAGATTTCTTTTTGGATGATAAAAACAAGATTCAAGCACCCATGATGAATTCTACGCATAACTACTACTTTGCTGAGCTGCCAGACTTAGAAGCAAAAGCCTTGAGCATACCTTATATAGATACTGCACTATTTTTGCTAGTCGTATTGCCCAATAGCATAACTGGCCTAAAGGATCTGGAACTGAAGCTGAGATCAACACAGCTTGAAACAATAACTTCGTTGCTAACTCAACAAAAAGTTGTTGTCAAGCTGCCCAAATTCAAAGCTGAATTCGAACAAGAACTAACACCAGTCTTCCGAGGGCTGGGCATGGAAAGGATCTTCAGTGATCAGGCTGAATTTGGCAAAATACTTCAGCAGGGCGAGCCGCTGAAAGTGTCTAAAATCGTACATAAGGCCTTCATCGAAGTCAACGAAGAGGGCACTGAAGCTGCTGCAGCAACTGCCTTGGTTGTGAAGATGATAAGAAGTGCGCCTCTAGAGCCAAAAATCCAAATATTTCATGCCAATCATCCCTTTTACTATACCATCTACGATGCCAACCATGGATGCCTGTTTGTGGGAAACCTCCACAATCCAGCTGATCAGTTGAACAGTACCCTATGCGTCTGTTAATAATTAAAAAATATTAAATTAATTAGTCAACTCTACACTTTTGTTTGTTTTCATTATAAAATTCTAGTATAGTATAACAGGTTTTTTACAATTTCAGAACATTTATCTATTGTTGTTATTATTGCTTAGTAATACCTAAATACTTAAGCACGCCAACAATAAATTTTATAGTTACTCATAGCTTATGGTGTCAACTCTTTCGAAGTACAATATTTTATCTTTAATCTTAACTGAACTGATAATCTAAAGTCATTCCGATGTCTTGGCACACAACAAGAACATATTTATCTCTCTCGACAAACTATGACTCAATACATTAGCTGGTTAATTTCCACTATTATATGCAATTCAATTATAAATCTAATCAAAGACGTGCCTCCATCGGAATCGGAACACTGCACTCGGTTATTGACTGATAATAATGATAATAGTCCCTATGAGGGGCGAAACATGACAGTCCAATTACTTACGAATATTATTATATGTCTGCATTCTTTGGATAAATTTATCAAAACACTTGCGTTGCGATACAAATCAACGTTTAGCCCTGCCCTTATCAGTAGGCTCACTTTGACGATAAGCAACAGACAGTAAAGACTCAACAACTTTGTTTAAATATTTACATTTACTGTTGATTCGTTGGCCACCAGTCTTACTAAAAAAAAAAAAAGGCCAGCCTGCCCTTCAGCCACTATAATTTGACCTAGATGCCAGTCGGGTTATCTAAGCCTTTAGCCTGGCCCCTTTTGTGAATATAATTTTTATGCTTTTGGCTAGAAAATAAATGCGACCTTTAATTAAAAACTATAGTGAATCTTTAGCACCAGACTAAACTAAACGATCCGTTTAATTTTATTGGCCTAAATAATTAATATGGATAAAGTAAACATTACATTTCTGGCGGTCACAGCTGGCAATTCTCGACCACATTACTGGCCGTTTCAATTTGTTTCTTTTCCCTTTTGTTGCTGTTGGCAGGCACTTAAAAAGTTTTACCTGCCCTATAAAGCAATTTAAAAAATCTTGGTTTTTTTATTTTATTATTTACAGCTGTTTACAGATGTGTGTGTCTGCTTCTCTGTGTGTGAAGTGCAGTTGCCGAGACCTCTTCGAGGCTGCTATCGCTATTTATAGCGACAGCGAAACATGGAAAAACATACCAAGCTCAAGGTCATCAAGTGGCATAAATTTTGTCAAGAAAAATAATATGTTAAAAAAAATAGTCAGCTTGGTGAGCTTTACTGTACACTACAACGTCAGACAGTGTTTAGATCAGTCATAAATATTCTACTACACTTTGTCTGAGAATTTGATTGAATATTCATAAGCCCAGAAGATATCATGACTAAGCACGATTTAACAAAAGCTAACATTTTCCATTGCATATGTAATGCATTAACTTCTATTATAAGTTACTTAAAATATGCATAAATAATTTGCAATATTATTAAGATACGCATCATTAGTGTTATTATCTGATCTATACTAACTGAGGAACTTTTCATTGTGCAACAACTTTTCCTGACATGCCCAAGATTTGCATAAGCATACACACATTTTACCTGAAAAACCTCACATAACCTTTTAAAAAAAAGACATGCCTTCCCATTTGTAAGACAAACAATGCCGAACTAACAAAAAAAACTTGTTGTAAGTCGTTACAAAGTTTAACTTTTATTCGCGAACATTTTACGGGTTATAAACTTGTTTTAAGCACTTGTTCTTGTGTTAGTAGTTGCTGCTGTTATTGGTAATGGCAAAGCTGAATCTTTTTTGCCGGCATTGGCTAATACACATATGGAACGGTTGACTATATTGCACTTGGCTCTATAATTAATTCCGTTACAAGCGCACAAAATAAACTGTTAGAGTCATTTGCATTTAATATTTATGATTAAATGAATGGCTGGAAACCCAGTCCTATTCAGACAACAATGAAATATATAAATATTTAAGACGGAAAATACTGAACTAAATATGTTTTTATAATAGAATTATCTGGAACAATTCGAATATGTATTGTTCAATTTATTGTTTTTATTTTAGTATATAATTACTATCGAAGCGAGCTCAAACCATTTACTTTATATAATTCTTACTGCTATAATTGTTGTTTGTATTATCAGAATGATAAACTTATAATTGCATTTTCATTGAGTAAAACAAAGTATGCATAACGATAGAAAATAATTGCCAAACATTTGATTGGCGTTTTCGTCGTTGTTGTTGTGACGTGGCAATGGGGCGTGTAATCGTAGACGTATTTGTGGCCATAATCGAATTGCGCTTTCAAACTTGCCACTGGGGTTCATTGAACGGGATTCTATGCCAAAAACCGAGTTAGTCAGGGCTTTGGATTACCCGATTGTATAGCTAAATATAATTATTGGCTTTGGCTTTGCGGTAATAAAAATGCAATCATGTAGAAAATTGCAAGGTTGCAAAACGCCAAATGTTAAGTCAAATTGCATTAGAAATCACATTAGTAATTGTTTCTTAGAGTTACATAAATTTTAATGACTGATAAATAATTCGCAAGTCACTTAATCTTTGACCGTTGACGTATCTGATCAGAGTACATTTCATACAAAGTAAAACCACCAATAATGTTGGACATTTAAACCCTATAGTAATATACATATTTAGAGATCTGCAATTACGATAATTGAGCGCTAATGACCGCTACCGGATGTGGAAGTCGAATAGTGAGAGTATTACCAGATCTCAGCCCCGATTAACTACACAAAATAACCGGTTGTCTGGCATTTAGCTAGCCGTTATTGGCAAACGACATATAAAGCTGTGAATTGTTGCTTCCATTTAAAAATCAATAAAGTAAGCTAAATTGTAGAGGGAGGTGCTTTAAGTAATATATAAATGCAAAAATTCCCACTTTTCTTGTACTTACAGTCCGCCAAAAGATAACACATTCTACTCATATTAAATCCATAGTGCTGATAGTTAGGTCAGTTTATCATTTAATTTGAATTGTTACAGAGCCTTGAATAGTTCAGTGGCTTTGCTAAAATAGCTTTTATTACAGCACCGACGATTATTTAAAGTATTAATTAACAAGTGAGATCGTGCAGTCGGTCGTACCCGACTGCAAAATACTATGATACCATAAGAACAGGGTGGGTGCAGCCAAGAAATACCGATCTTTAAAATAAATAAATAAATAAATTCCTCAGTGCTTGTCTTTAATATTGCAGTATATTCAGGAATGCTTATGAATATTGGGAATGATAGTTGGCATGGTCGAAAAAAAATGTTGGAGCAATTTCCTAGTAACCAACTTTTCAAGATTGGTAATAGTTTCGAATTGTGGAAGATATAAGCAATTAAATATTTGAGTATATGTTCCATTTTTCAATGCTCTATCTTTAAGGGTGTCGAAGAAAGATGCGTTCATACGGACTGATGGAACTTGCATACAACCAATATACTCTGGATACCTTCGGTGTTGGAGTTTAAAAAGTTGATACTGTAAACATACTTATCATTATAATTTCAATGGAACTAAGACCACCGCAAAAAAAAGAAATAAAAATAACACGAAGACAATATTCAAATTGCTTCTAACTGTGTTATAAGTGTCGAGCCATAAGACAAGACAATTCATTTTGTATACCCAGCGAGATGTTACTATGAGTTTAAGATGAACATATATTTTATTTTTTTTGTGTTTGTCTTTTTTTTTACTAACTTTGAAGTCAATAATCGAAAAATATTGGAGTGAGCAGGCAAGCAAATAATACGCATTAACTGTATACATTTCGGCAATCTTTACATATCTCCGCGTTCACGATTTTGTGGAAAAAAGTCATTTAAAACAAATTATATAAATTATGCAAACCTATACAAAAGATTATATGTATAGATGTTAGTACGGATGAGCACATTTTTTTGGCATATCAAATTGCTTTTCATTCTTGTGAAATAAATATGAACAAACGAGAAAAAAAAGCAATAAGAAAATATGTGAAACAAGTGTTTACATTATATACATACAAGAAATTCAATTGAAAATGCAAAAAATACTTGTTGGGCCGTGTGATAAAGTTAACACCTTTAAGCCAACGAGGGAATCAGCATAAAAGAAAGAAAGAAAAACAACAAAATCATCAACGACAAAACGAGCGGCAATTTCGCAAACACGAGTTCCGTCAGTCAAATGACACTTGGACACGAGGTCCAATTGGAGCTGGCGCAAATTTGAAAATCGATATGACATGAAGGAAAACAAGGGCAATCCGACCGGCAAGTGTCAACGTCACAGTCCGGCCATATGCCACAAGGCATCCATATAGGCAAACACAGAGGCGGAGACCAACAAAGAACCAAGTCAAACAGGGATGTATGATGCCAACTTTGACTTTTTTGTTACCAGTGGGAGAAATCGTCAGCAATAATGACACACAAATGTAAGTAATTCTCAAACCTTTGACAAACAAGCAAAAGTCAAGAAAAGGCGTCAAAGGTTGAAGATTAGAGGGTTACCGGGTCAGCAGTCTAACATAGTCGAAAAGCCGCTGAGTTGCTCGACATGCCAGCTGATAACGTCATGTAGCCGACTGGCTACTGAACATTTGATATCGCACCACAAAAATGAGCCAACAAAAATAAAAAACCGCAGCAGCTAAAAAACGTGAGGCAGTTATTTTCTGTTCGTTTACATTTGGCTTGTGGCCAACAAAAAATGTGCGAAGAACTTTTTACTTTCGTATTTTGTTCAGTTTTGTTTTTTATATTTTTATTCTAACATGAAATTTATTTTTCTAATGAATGAACAAATGCAAGCGTGTGTGAGTGTTTTATTGTGTGAGTGTTCTTACCTGTCCGTGAATGAATACTATATGCAGGAAATATATTGCTGTTGCACAGCATGTTTAAATACCAAGCCGGGTGAACACAGTCGTACACACAGCGTATGCGTAATGTAAATAATTTTGTATGCGCAGCATGTTTATTTTTATTTTCGGTTGTAAAAACTGCGCTAAGTTTAGCTGTGTCTATAATGATGTGACGTGTGTGA